AGTGGCCCAGCAAGACAAAGGCTCATTCTTTCTAACTCATTAGCCCACTCTACATTTAAATGCAATATTAAATCTTGACCACTCATTATGTTTAATCCACTGGTCAATACTTACTCTCAACCACCATATAAAAACCAAATTAGTACCCAAAACCCTAACTGAACTCCTCCATTCTAAAGCAGCCATCGAGAGAACACGGACAGAGGAAAAAAAAGAAAACTGAGGAGAAATCCCTAGCTCCATAGCTCGCCCAATCCTTACCAATCATTTTCTCCATGAGACTACATCATTCTTTATTTGTTTTAGTCTAATACCATGTGAATTCACTAACACCACCATTGTTTCACCCATAACCATCGATTCTTAACCCTCTCTCCCCCGTTAATCACCTAAATACCGTAACCATATTTTGTTCCCCTTTATCCCTACAAAAACATATCAGCAAGACTAAAAATTATATTGCACAACTCAAAAATATTCGAACGCAAAGTTCTGGTCTGCTCTTTGAACTGCGGTGTCCTCTGGGACGAGTAGAGTTCGAGTTCGTCGGCGAATTTGAGTGTCTCCGGCGAGGTCCCATCGAGGTTGTCACCGTCCAAGGTTTCCTGTCTTAAAACATTTTCAGATTCAAAGAGCTTTCACTCCTGAGGTTCTCTCTTATCTCTTTGACTAATAGATCCAGTAAAGGTTCATTTCTAACTCTTATGCCTTAAATCTGTTATTGAGTGAATGAATTTGTGTTATCTTCCCTGAATGCACTCTGTTGATATGAATTTCACACGGGTTTGCAATTTTCTTTAGATTTCGTTTCATTAATATTTTTAATTAGTTGATTTAGAGCTTGAATGTAACTTTAAGACTAAGTGAAATTGATGTTTGAATTCAGTGGTTTTGTAATTAGGATACGAAATTATTCTGTTTGGATCATATTGAATTGATTAGTATGGTCGGTGGTTAAACCTTATTGTTTGAGTCAATTGGATCATCCGGCAGTGACATTAAAAGTTAGAGTTGGACTTTAACCATGAATCTGGCATAACAACTAGCCTTAATCATTTTATTACTTTGTTTAATTAATTCGCTAGTAGCATGTTTAGGCCGTCAACACTCAGGTATGCAAACTTTAGGTCTTTTCTTTTCTTTTATTCGAGGTGAGAGGGCGTTCCCTTTAGTTTAAATTCAAGGAAATGCCTCATAGACTTTATAAATATTTTTGTCAGAGGAATGCCCCGAAGTGAATATATCTGGAGGCCGTGACGGACATCGTGGAGTGAGCATATCATAGACTTTAGTATTTTCCTCTTATTTTACTTTCTTTTATTTAGGCGGGGACAACCTCGAGCCTCTTGTGTGTTTATTTTTCTTTTGTATTTTTTTTTGCCTCAATTCGAATATCCTTTAAAGCCAATTTGATCATGTATGCAACCGTACTAGTTACGGGACTCGGGGAATGCCTAACACCTTCTCNTTTAGGCGGGGACAACCTCGAGCCTCTTGTGTGTTTATTTTTCTTTCGTGTGTTTTTTTTGCCTCAATTCGAATATCATTTAAAGCCAATTTGATCATGTATGCAACCGTACTACTTATGGTGTTCGGGGAATGCCTAACACCTTCTCCCCGAGTCAAATGAACCCCCTTATCTGGAATTTCTGGTGCAGTCAATTTTAGAGTCAAATTTGTTTTGAAGGAAAAATATTATTTTAAAAACGGTGATCTGCCACACCGAAACCAAATGAAGGTGGCGACTCTGAATAACCTTTTAAAACACATTTTTGTCATTTTCTAATTGGATAATACTTTTGAGCTTCAAACACCAACTTTTATTCTTTTTAAAGAGGGTTAGTGAGGTGAAAAAATGGGGTGTGACAGCTTTGGCGACTCTGCTGGGGAGTTGCAGGTTTGAGCTGATTGTTGATCATGTTGGCTTTTAGGATATTTAGTTGAGGTGTTTGTTTTCTTTATTTGCTTTGTTAATTAGTTTTTTTGTCTTATTTCCTATTTTGTTGGTTATTTGCTTATCGATTTTCCTTATGTGTTTACCGTTTTATAACAGTCATCATTGGCATAACCATGGGGTTTTTTTCTGCAACAAGTCTTCCGGAGTACGTTTGAGCATGCACGGCCTTTATGTGAGTCACCCGTGTCTTTAGGGGGTGGCGTGGGAGCGTGGAGTGGGCGGATAGCTAGAGCAGCCGCCATCGACCACGTGCCGCCCCAAATTGCCTTGTCTAGTGAACCCCCAAACTTAGGTCAGCCTTTAGGTCATGCTTATTTGTATCATGTCATTTACACTTAGCAGGGCCCGGTCTCAAGCACCGTGTCCCGTTATAGGAGGCCTATCCAAATTATGTCAAAACGGGCTCATGGCCCAAAAGGATATTTAATCATCCCCATGTACTACATACTGCATTCTTTAAAGGTAAAGGGGTCATTTGGCGGACCAATGACGGTTTGAGGGCAAATGAGAAAGAAGAGTGGGTGAAATATAAAAATGAAGCAAGTAGGGCCCAATTATGTTTTTCTTTCACAACTTTTTCAAGAAAAAGATTAAAAATATGAAAATAAAAAATTCAAAACGATTTTGCACTTTCCCATCATTTTCCAAAAACAAAAAATCAAAAAAAAAAGAGAAAAAGAAAATCCAAAAATGTTTTACATGTTTCATCATTTTTTTTTAAAAAGACAAAAATTATGTTTTCTCCAAATCATTTTTTTAATTCTCTCCCATATCCAATCTTCCCAAACTACGCATACCTGATTCTCGTCTTTCGGGGCGGGATGCGTAGGCAGTCCACATAGGGTTGGGTCTTCCTAGTGAGTCTTAAGTTCTTGGCTTCGAGGGTCGTAGCCAAATCTTTCATGTCTAGCCATGTTTGGCCACATCGGTCATTTTTTGCAAAATAGGGATATTTTTGCTAAAGTGGTTTATTAACCCATGTATTAGAGTCCTAAGTCTACCACAAGGTGTCCTCTTAGTCTAAGGTCCATTCCTGTTGAGTTTGCATGCTTAGCCATTTTTTATCACATCGGCCATTTCTGCAAAGTAGGGTCCTTTGTGCAAAGTAACCTTAGAGACAATGATTCTTGAGAGTTTAGGGGTTATATGGGCTTTTTGAGATATTTTTCCATAGCTTGGTGGTCACCCTTGTTGAGTTTGCACTTCTAGCCACATTTAGGCCAAGTAGGTCATTTTGCAAAGATAGCCTCACTCATGCCTTGCATAGCCCAATAGGAAGTATTATGGTCTCACATAGTGCCTTGAGTCACTAACTCTCTTTGAACTTATTTTTTCTTATTCAGGTATGAATTCATTTATCAGAACTCGAGCATGACAGATACCCCATGACCATCTTAGTCAGGACCGTTGCTTTCATTAGCTGTTTGAGGAGACTTTTTATATTTTGAGTCTATTTTGTCATTTATTTTACATATCTTGTCCAGTAGTATTGATTCTTTTAGGTGGTGTCACAGTCTGTCATAGTCTAGTTGAGTTAATCGAGTCTTTTGTTATCGTACTTCCTATTTTGTATGTGAAAACCAAAAAAAGTTATAAATAAAAAATCCAAAAAGATTTTTATTTTTAGTATATTTTGTCCACTAGTTTTTCAGAACTACACTTGGTCTGATTCATGTGGAACATGATACGTAGGCAACCTACATCGGGTTCGATCGAATCAATTTAGAAATTAAAAGGAAAAAAAAAAAGAAAAACAAATGGATGGGAGAAGTGTGAGAAAAGAAAAAGAGTGATAATCAGAAAGAAAAGAGAGGGAAGAAATGAGAAAATCAAGGAGCTTAAGAGAGGAAACGAAGAAGAAAAGGGCAATGAGAGTAAAATTGGGATGATGTCATATGACCTTCGTACCTTGGGAGTAATTTTAGAACCGATAAATGTGACTAGGTGCATTGCACATAATATGAGATAATCTTATGTTAAATACCCTAACGCTAATGTAATGACTTCATTTTGTTCCTCTTTGTTATCTTCATTATAGGAGAAGGGTGGCTGGTTTGTGGTTCTTAAAATGGTAACTCTTTCCTACAACATAAAGTTAAAAGGCAATGGCAGACGACAACAGAGTTGAGTTAGTCGATATTGGTACCCGAAAGAAGTTGGTTGAACAGGACATTGGGTTGGTTAAAGAGGCAAGGATGTTGAAACAACACATGGCGGACATGTATCAGGCTTGGATGACTGGGAAGGCACCACCCCCGCCACCACCTATCTTCCTAGATGTTACCCTTACCCAAGCTCCGGTCATAGTGTCAAATGATCCACCATATTCTCCGTAGTTTCCCGCTTGTCACATCTTTCCTAACCTCCTTAGTAGCTCCATCATTCGTCCTTCAACTACCTTTCCCAAAAATAGCCCTCCTGATGTTGTTGAGCCCCGCCAATGACAAGTCCCAGTGGGCATTCCGGATTAACGCTTTCAGCCTCAACATCGACCCCATGAGTATCTCCGTACTCCAGATAATCCTCCCGATGCTACTTCTCTCCACAAAATCCCCAAAGTCATACCTCACCTTCCCACTACTCTATCCATAATGCACCGCCATATGCTCTATATCCATAGGACTCGTATTGGCCTGCACCACTTCCACAAATATTTTACCCGCCTCCTCATGCATGTCAGCCACCTACCCGCAAGAGGTTCCAACCGAGGCCAGAGTACAAAATAAAAAGGCAGCAGTAAAGAAAAAAGTCTTTCACTCCTATTGGAGAATCATATGCTAGTTTGTTCCAAATGTTGAGGCAATTGGACATGTTAAACCCAATTCAGATAAAAATGTCGAACCCCATTCCAAAGAATTTTTATTTTTCTCAAAGGTGTGCATATTGCTCTAATGCCACGGGGCACAGTATAGAAAAGTGTTGGCATCTGAAAAGAGCAGTCCAGAAGCTTATTGATGCAAGTGACATTACCGTGAAAAATCCATATGTAGCGGATATTAGCCAAAGTCCATTTCCTGTTCATAATGAGATTCATTTGGTGGGCATGATTTGTGTTGAAAAGGAATATGAGAACTCTTCTGAATCTCTTGGAGGGCTACTTGCCGCGAAATTTTCAGCGGTATCAATCCTGCTTCCAGAAGTTGATCTTAAGAACGAGTTGGCAAAGAGGACCCAAAAGCAATCTGCTGAGGTCATTGTGATAGAGACTTGTGAAGTTCCTAATAATATAGATATGCGACTCAGTGGCTACGATGTCGAGTTTGGTAATTGGAAAATACTCATTTCTTGGCTAACGAGGGAGGAGTTTTGGTGGTTTATTTTGTTATCATTTCTGATGTCCGGGTTATTTCAGGGTTATAATCTGGATATTATCTTGAGACTCAAACCCTTCTTCCTTTTAGTTTGCCTAGTTCGTTTAGTCGTAGTAACTCGCTTAGTGTTATCTAGGATTGTTCCAAGGTGGTAACCCAAGTTTATTTTGCTTATTTTGTTGTTCAAACCCTTTCATTGTCTGTCTAATGCAATGTCCTATTTTCTAGTCATTTTTTGTTTAGTTCTCTTTTTCCTTTCATTGTTGACTCTAGTGACATGACATGCACGCGTAATTCTCAGCATGGTCGTAAAAGTTAGTCTAATCATGAAGCAATGAAACAAGTTTTGAAGATGAACATTTGAGGGAAATAAGTAAAGATTTGGAAATTTTGAGATCATTTAAAGCCCGAATTGTGTGAAACTGGGGCAGATAGTTTGGGGAGTTAAGAGGACGATAAGAATTTATTACAGGAGAGTGCATCCTAGATAATTTGAAGCAAGCAACTTTGAGTTCAAGTGCATCTCAAGTTACAAGATAAAGCCAAGAGAGTTTGCCCCAAATTGACGGAGCACATATATTGTGAAGAAGAAATCACACAACTAGAGTTCTATACTTAGTAAGGCACTAAAGAAAAGTGGAAGGCATATCAGTGATATCAATGCCAAAGCTGCAAAAGAAATATTGTGCATGATCTTCCTTTTTCATCCTCAAGTTGCATGTATTGTACTTGGTATTTTCAGGGATTGGGAGGTCATCTTTCAACTACCCAAACACTTTATACTATTCGGTACCCCTTTTTGAGCCTATGTTAATTTTCTTGACCTCCCCTATTTTGGAATCGAGTTAGAGTCATTAAAAAAATCATGCCCCATAAGGTTTGTTTTAGAAACTTCATTACAAAAGAAAATTTCAAAAAGAAAAAAAAAGAAAAAACAAAAAAACAAAAAAAAAAAAAGAAAAAAAAGAAAAGAAAAGAAATAGAAAATAGCAGCAACAAAGAGTAGTCTTTTGAACTACGTTCGACCAGATTCTTGTCACCACAAGATACGTAGGCAGCCTTACGGTTCGGTTGCATTAAATAAAATATTTCATAATCCCACGAAGTCAAGAGTGGGGCAATTTTCTTAGAAATTCCATCTAAAAAAAAGAGGTTCAAATTTTCTTAATTTAGAAACTGGGGCAAAAATTTTAAAATGGATTCCAAAAGTTGTAAATAAATTGACCCTGTTGTCTTAGTCATTTTGAGCCTTTATGATAGCCATATTACAATCCAAAAAAGACCTTCCCGATAATCTTTGAGAGTGTCGAGTTAAACTTGTAAGGAACATATGATATTTTTTCCATAGTTAATGCCTTGTCATCTGCGGAACCAGAGGAAATGAAAAGTAAAGAAGAAATGAGAGAGTCTTATCGGTGAAAACCTTCACAGGCACCATAGGGCGACGGTGAGTTGAGAGAAAGAACAAAATGAGAGAGGCTTGATAGTGAAAACCCTTCGGGCACTACAAATCGAATAAGGATCGTGAATCAGATAGGATAATCAGAGCACTAAAGCCCAGTTTCACGGCTTAGAGGTACAACAAGAGTTAAAGATCAGACTTGCATGACAGGTCAGATCACTTAATCCAAAATGCATGTCATGGTCATTAGAGTTGGTATCCACATTTGATAAGCTTCTACTTGGTAATTTTCTTGTTAGATGTCATTTCTTTACATTGTCCCCTTCTCTATTTTTCTTGCTTTGTTTAAGTCTTCTTGAGTCTGTTTTGTCAAAACAAGTGAGAAATGACTTCAGAATTTGCTACCAGCTTTCCAATTGCACAAAGCGAAGTCTGGCTAGCACATCAAAGTGGCATAAGTCAGGAAAGAGTTGTATGCACACTGAGTTGGTGACAATTGACGTGCTTTGGAATTCATATGAAATGCAAAGGTTCGGTAAATATCAATTCATGAGCACAATGCAACAGATAAAGGGTATAGGGCTCGAATAGATCAGAGGTGTTTTTTGTGGTAAGGTTTGACAAAAAAGTGGTTAGCCAATAACAAGCAGGGTCTTTCAAGTTGAAATCAAAGTTATCATGGCAAGTGTAGGAGCAACCGCCCTCAAGATCAAGGCCACAAACCAACCACCATGTTTTAAACTGATAAGCTTTCTTTGTTTGAAACAGGGACGAAGACTATGTCCAAATCAAAGCTTGGAAGCTTGAATTTTTCAGGTGTCGTGCCCAAATTTTGTCAGCACAAAGGTTGTTTGAGAAGGTATTTACCTACAAGACATTCCCCTAGTTTAGAAGATCATACCTCCTAGGCATTCTCTCCATTCGGAGGAATTTTTAGTTTTTCTTTAAGTTCAGGGGTCCCGCCTGGAGAATAGGGTCAGTTCCTAGTTTCCTTAAGTTGCTAATCTCTAGTTTTTCTTAAGATCAGGGGTCCCGCCTGGAGAATAGGGTCACTTTTTAGTTTCCTTAAGTTGTTAGTTTTTAGTTTTACTAGTGTTCAGGGGGTCCCGCCTGTATAATAGGGTCAGTTTTAAGTTTCCTTAAGTTGTTAGTCTTTAGCTTTTCTTGAGCTCAGGGGTCCCGCTTGGAGAATAGGGTCAGCTTTTAGATTTCTTAAGTTGTTAATCTTAGTTTTTCTTTAGTTCACGGGTCCCGCCTGTAGAATAGGGTCAATTTTAGTTTCCTTAAGATATTAATCTTTAGCATTCCTTTAGTTCAGGGGTCCTACCTGGAGAATAGGGTCAGTTTGTAGTTTTCTCCAGTTGTTAGTCTTTAATTTTCTTAAGTTCAGGGGTCCCGCATGGAAAATAGGGTCAATTGTTAGCTTCCTTAAGTTTTAATATCTAGTTTTTCTTGAGTTTAGGGGTCCCGCCTGGAGAATCGGGTCAATATTTAGTTTAGTCAAGCTCAGTTTACAGTTTTTCTCAAGCTCAATCTCAAATCTATGAGTCGCACTTCCTAGTTTGGGTTTTTCAGATTTTATTTCTTTAGGAGATGCACTTCCTAATTTTAGGTTAAAGGTTTCACCCCTAGGAGACGCACTTCCTAGTCTGGGTCTTTCAGGTTAATCTTTTAGGAGACGCACTTCCTAAATTGAGATTTCACCCCTAGGAGATGCACTTCCTAGTTTGAGTCATTCACGTTTCACCCCTAGGAGACGCACTTCCTAGTCTGGGTCTTTCAGGTTAATCTTTTAGGAGACGCACTTCCTAAATTGAGATTTCACCACTAGGAGACGCACTTCCTAGTTTGGTCATTCAGGTTCATCCCTAGGAGACACATTTCCTAGTTTGAGTCATTTAAGTTTCACCTCTAGGAGACTCACTTCCTAGTTTGGTTCAATTGAGATTTCACTCCTAGGAGACGCACTTCCTAGTATGGGTCATTTGAGCTCATCCCTAGGAGACGCACTTCCTAGTTCGGATCATTCAGGTTCTTTTTCTTAGCGGATGCATTTGCTAGTAAAATTTTCTTGGTTTTACTCACAGGAGACACACATCCTAGTCGAGTCTTTAGTTTCTCATCATTGCATCAATAACATAAGTGGTTTACATTTTTGCTAACAACTCACAAATCTTCCTAGTGCAAACTGGGGCAGAAAATTTTATTTGTTTTGTTGTTTTGATTATAGGCACCCACCTGGAGAACGAGGTCAATATTTCAGAAATCGATTTTAAGTTCAAATCAGAGAGGCATTAGGAGTCCGCCTAAAGAACAGGGTCAACTTTCAGTTTACAAGTTCAAGTCAGAGAGGCATCAGGAGCTCGCCTGAAGAACAGGGTCAACTTTCAGTTTACAAGTTCAAGTCAGAGAGGCATCAGGAGCTCGCCTGAAGAACAGGGTCAACTTTCAGTTTACAAGTTCAAGTCAAAGAGGCATGAGGAGCCCGCCTGAAGAACAAGGCCAGCGTTCAGTTTTCAAGTTCAAGTTAGAGAAGCATCAGGAAAATCCCGCCTGAAGAACAGGGTCAACTTTCGGTTTACAAGTTCAAGTCAGAGAGGCATTAGGAGCCCGCCTGAAGAACAGGGTCAACTTTCAATTTTCAAGTTCAAGAGGCATTAGGAGACCGCATGAAGAACAGGGTCAACTTTCAGTTTACAAGTTCAAGTCAGAGAGGCATCAGGAGCCCGCTTGAAGAAGAGGGCCAACTTTCGGTTTAAAAGTTCAAGTTAGAGAAGCATCAGGAGAAGCTCTCCTGAAGAACAGGGTCAACTTTCAGTTTACAAGTTCAAATCAGAGAAGCAGGAGGCTCCCGCCTGAAGAATAGGGCTATCGTTCAATTTTCAAGTTCAAGTTAGAGAAGCATCAGGAGAATCCCGTTTGAAGAACAGGGTCAACTTTCGATTTACAAGTTCAAGTCAGAGAGGCATTAGGAGTCTGCCTGAAGAACATGGTCAACTTTCAATTTTCAAGTTCAAGAGGCATCAGGAGCCCGCCTGAAGAATATGGTCAACTTTCATTTTTCAAGATTCAAGTCAAAGACAGCAGGATCCTGCCTGGAGAACAGGGGCAATTTTTAGTTCAAATCAGAAGTAGCACGAGCCCACTTGAAAAACAAGGTTTGCAAGCTCAAGTCTACTCAAATTTCATGTTTATTTCAAGTCGAAGCAATAGGAGCCCGCCTGAAGAACAGGGTCAACTTCCAATTTTCTTCAAGTTCAAGTCAGCAGGATGCCCACCTGAAGAATAGGGTGAATTTTTAGTTTCATGTTGAAGGATCAAGTGAAGATTCAAGGAAGATTCAAGACAAGAAGTAGATAGGATCTTGTATTTTTATTTTATTTTGCTGTAATGTTTTCTTTCAATTTATGATGTAATGGCAGGGACCGCAGACCGGAGCCTCGAACGGTACCTCACTTGACTCTCTCATCCTCTCCACATATTCCATCACTTCATTCGCTTCTGAACTACACGTGACCTGATTCCTTTATAGCCAAGGATATGTAGGCAG